TTCTGTTGAAGGATCCACCCTATATTATATTTTACAAAGAAAAGGTAATGTTGCATGTCCATGCTAAGTTTCCTGTGCATTTGGTGTCACAGTGGCATGGACTGTGCCAGTGTTCTTCCCTGCCAACATCCTAATGCCTATAAAACATTGCTTCATAAACATTTTTTTAAAGTCTCTTGAGTATTTATATATCTTGAGGGAACAAAGCCTTGTAGACAGTATGTCCAGTTACATTATTTCATTTTCTACTGGTATTTTATCCTTTTAGAATGCTTCTCAAAAGCAGATCTTGGTTCCTTTATTTTTTCCCAGGCCTGGAGTTTGCCTCTTGGGGATTATTATTTTAACAATCAAAGTGCTCAGCCCCCATGTTCTTTAACACTTTCTGTAGTTTAACTTTGACCAAAACCACTATTTACCTGTTGCCACTTATTCAGCTTGCTGAAATTTTCCAATATAAGTAGGTTTTAAACTTGATTAGATTCTGCATTGCCCCTTTTCTAATCCAGAATTGTGTCAGCAAGATCTTTCTGGAACAAAGAACAAATTTCCAAGCATCCCTTCCACATTTCCACTGATGGGGTTTTTTTTCCTCTAGAGGTCTGCAGAGATTCCTGTAAGTGAATGCAAGTGATTTACAAATGTTGCCTATTGACTCATTGTATTGGGAAGCTTTCAGTAGGTGGGGAAAGTGTCACCTCATAAATAAAACATTAATAATGAAACACATTTCACGTAAATGTGGCTTTTTAACCATTGTGGTGTTATGGTATCATGAGACATGAGGTTTCCTCAGCAGCACCAGGTCGTGGTCCTTGATCCTTCAGTTATCTGAGCAGGACCAGAGCAGGTTTCCCCAGCCAGAGGATTTTCCCAGGGGGTTTTTATGGTTTCCCAGAAGTGGAGCCTGTTCCTGGGGATTGTGCCCGGAATTCCAGCTATGTCCAGAGCGGATTCAGTCAGGCCCTGTTTGTTCTCCTCACATCTCTGTTGCATTGACATTCCTTTCCTTGAGTGTTCTCCTCAAGGATTTCTCCCTCTTTAGGGTTTGTGAGCGTTTTGGGACGTGTGAGGTCTGTGCAGGTGGTGAATAAAGGCTCCAGTCCTGACATGAAGCTCAGGAGGAATTCACTCCTCACCTTCCCTGCCATCCTGTCACCACTTCTGTTGACTTTTGTTGCTTTACACAGCTTCAGCTGTACTTTAAACAGGATCTTGGGTGTGTATTGTGACACTGCAGCATTTTATTTTTTTTAATGGAAAATTACATAATTTGGAAATTTTTTTCAGCTTTAAGTATGCATAGGGCAGGAAGGGATAAGATGATCATAGACTGCAAATACTCTGGATCAGTTGGATCCTAACATTTAAATCCTATTGGTTGTGGAATGTCATCTCAAACCAAATTGTTATTTAGTATTTGTTCATTTTAGCTGTTAGGAGTTCCATTTTCTGGTGCAAGTAAAACCTTTGTTGGTGCTGCTGTAGATTCTGTCATATTAGAATGTGCCAGCAAATCAATCAGTGTAGTGGAAGCAAGAACCAGACATGTAAGTACTTGTTTTCTGGCTATTTCTTTTCAGGAAATTTTCCTGCTACTTTTGGTTAATTTGTTTCCTAACTCATTATTTTTAGAGCTCTCATACAAATTATACCTATTTAACTAAAAAAAAAAGAAACCAACCCAACCCTTTTGCTAACTTGATTTTTTCTAGTGGCCTCTGAAGCCCCTGTTTTACCTAAATACATAACAAATCTTGTGGTTTTACTTGCCTTCCCTGAGAGCAGCCCCAGGCTACATTCCATGACTCAAATGGGATGCTGAGGATTTCTTGTGTTATTCCTTTTCTTAAATATTATTTCAGAGCTGTGGTTAGTGTAGGTGTACTGGGGAGGAGGGAGAATCTGGGGTTTTTGCAGCCAGCTACTGTGTCTTAATTCCAAAATCAGTCACTACAGTAAGGAAGTTTCTAATACAGCAGGGGATGAGCTCTGCAGGGCTGGGTCTGACTCTGCTTGGGTGAAACCTTCCTTCTTCACAGCTGTGGGAGCTGGTTCTGCATAATCCCAGCATGTGTGAAGATGTATTTGATGTGGCCTAAAGACAAAAGCTTGTGTATTAATGAAAGACCTTCATATTTGACCATCCCAAGTCATGTAGTTCACTTTTTAAAACTCAATTAATGCAAACACACAAGAAAAAAAAAAAAAAGACCAAAAGTAACAGCAAAAACCTATCCCAAAAAACCCTACTGTGTCTTAGTGTAATGATCTATTGCTCTTTGCTTGTTGTTGATCCTGATTTTGAAATCCCAATAAGAAGTTCAAAGAATGTGGAATTAAATTCTTTCTCCATCCCAGATGGACAATTAATAACCATACTGAGAAGATTGCTTGAGTATTGCTGGTTATAGTTCAGATCAGCAGGACAGGCATGAAGGCAGCGTTCAATATTTTATTGCTAATTTGGTCTCACAAGGCACAAACACTGATCTTTATCCCATTATTGTAGTTCATGTATTTTCTCAGAAGTGAGAACTGCCCTTAGAACACAAGGAGGACTCTTGTAAACAAAATGTAACTGTTCTGGTAAACTAAACCCTATTATCAATGTGTTCGTGCCGGGGCCAGGAACTGGTTTTATTCTTCACCCCATTTTATGATCTGATTGCAGAAACTATTCCAAATGTAAGACATTATGGAGTTTGAAATGTCTTTGAAATAATTGCTTTACATCATCTTTCCACCACAGTGTCATAGATGTAGTGAGAAACAGTAACAAGGAAGTTTTTGTGGCAGTTTTACTGTGCTGTGACTTTTCTTATTAAAACAAAGACATTTTTCACTTTATATCTATATCTTTTTGGTGATGAAGAATGTTTTACTGCTTTTTCTGTAAACTTATCATTGCCTAGTTATTTGTCCACTGAATCAACTGCTGTTTCATCAAAAAAATCTTGTACAATTGCTGATTCCATTTTTCAATTTCCCAGCTTTGTAGTTCTAAGTTGAGTGAGCCATATGATGTTCTGTATTGAACAACTGTTACTTTTAAAAACAAATATAGAAACATTCCCCAAAATGGGTTTGGTTCAGATACAGTGAGATTGCAGATAATTCCTCCTTTCTCCTTCACTTTCTCTTCCTTCTCCCTTTTCCTTTAGAAATACATTTTCCTCACCGTGCTCTGATACAGTTGAAAGTGACTGACAGTCCCCCAACTGCCAAGAAATTATAAATCTTCAAAATTAAAGTATCCAATGAGCATAATTCCAGCAGTGGGAGACAGAAAACAGGACTAGAATGAAGATTTTGATTCATTTTCTATTTCCTTTAATAGCAAAAGCAAACGGTCAACAGTGCAATCTGCAAATACTAAAAATTAAGTAAAATCTTCTTACCTTCTTCTGAAAGAAATTTAACTGGTCTTTTTGTTCATTAACAGTTCATAAAAGCAGGGAACAAGCTGACATTGGTACCATATATAAACATCATAATCTCTTTAAAAGAAATCAGAACAGAATTTAGATGTGTATTTTGTGTTTGTTCTCATTTTTGTGTATATGCAGCAAGGGAATCCTTAACAGCAATAAAAGGACAATCAAATTGCATCTGATGTGCTGCTTCCACCATTGGTATTTGTAATTGTGTGATCACAAAAGCACACATGCATCTTATACCTGCCAAGAAGAGGGTGCTCTGAAAATCAGCAGCACTAAATTTACTGTGAGATGCCTCTACATATCTTTAAGATACAATTTAAAGGATTTACTATTCTGCTAAAGTTCAGGTGTTAGTTAAGATTCTGGTAGGAATGGGAATTTTTCAAAAAACACTTTTCAAAGGGAAAATTTGGAACGTGTCCCCTTTCTTTGTACTACATTGATAGTAAAGGAATGTGAGAGACTGATATCCCAAGAGATGGAGGAACCTTGAAGCAGCAAAAATAACACATTTTTCTTCTTTAAAATAATTCTTCTGTAAAGAAAAAGGGTGTGGAGACACAGAATAAATACAACAACTATTTTAAAGGTCTTTCACTGGTCTGGATGAAAAAAATTAATTATTTGCCGCTTAAAACCAGAATGAAAGTATTTAACCCAAAACACTTCAAAGCTCTGCGAGATAGCCAGGGAGCAGCCATGGCTGATGATGGGAGGAATGCCCACAGTGGTGTCTGTGTGTATTTTAGTCACCAGGCTGCTGCTGTTCTTTCTGAGTCTGTTCAGAGCTCTTGGACTGATGGCCAGGAGTTCAATCCCGTGTTGCACACGCAGCCAAAGTGCATCTTTCATCTGCAGAATGAAAAGAGCTTTTGCTTGTGTTGTTAGCTTGTGTTACAGGTTCAGCAAAACTGAAGCATTGCATTTTTGGCTGTCTGCTTTCATATCTTGGCTTACAGTTTTTAAGGCTGAGACAAAACATGATCTAGCCTTGTATCACTGTCTTTCTTCTGTAGTTCAATGTCTTTTTACACTGTAAAAGAATAAATTTACGAAAGTGGTGCAGAGTTAAGTAAGATACAGATGTCTGTACAGTCCCTGAAGATCCTCACTTGCTTGCAAAGTCATGTAAAACTTAATTATCATTATCATTCATGTAGGAATTATAGAGAAGTAGTGTTTCATTGAAGAAAAAAAAAAATCACAACAGCCACATAAATGTAAGATACAGTGACACCATGAGTTAAAGAACAAATGTTACCAAATAGCATTGATTATTAAATTGCCAATGAAACTGACATTAATGAGACATTAACCCTTCTTACAGTAGATGGTTGGATTCAATCAGTGATTGAGAAGCAGTTCTTTAAGTGTTACAGAGTGTGGAAGTCAAACTTAGAAAGCCAACTGAACTTGTAGTGAGGTTCTAAAGCATGGTTAGAGATTTTTGTTAAATCTGCTCCATTCTCTGCTCATTGCAAAATGAAAAGATTCATCACTGTTTGCTGACTCTCTTCATCTCTAACCCATTCCCATAACCCTGTTTTCCCATTTCAGGAGTTTTATGAACACACAAAAACCCTGTGGCAGGATGAAGGTGTGAAAGCCTGCTACGAGAGATCCAACGAGTACCAGCTGATTGACTGTGCCCAGTAGTGAGTATTGCTGGGGCTGGGGAGGGTTTGGTGCCCTGCTGCTGGCCCTGACCCCTGGAAAAGGGGTGTGAGGTGCATAATGAATTCCTGGTAATCAGCTGTTCAGAGAGGTGCACAAACTGCTGTTCAGTTAGACAATATCTACATTGAAATGCCTACATCAGTATCTGCATCTACACGTGCTTTCAAAAGGTTTTAATAAGGCCCCTTAGTGAGGAATCGCTTTTATTGTCTGCAAGGCCAAATTTCCTGCCTCTCCACCTGGCCCATCCTCTCCAGAAGTCAGCTTCAGGTGCTGCACAGGTTGCAGTAGGTTGGGGAGGATGTTGGTGGGAAATAATCCTGTTTGTCACTTTGGTTTCTAGTGCAGTTTATTGAACTGGAAACAAAGAGATGGGAGTGACAGTCCTGGGGAGCAGCCTGTGATCAGTCACCAGAGTTGTGCTTGTGTGCCTTCATGCACATATCTGAGAAAGAGTCATTCTCTTCTGGTATTTATACTGCTGGGATAATTAGTGTTGTCTTGAGAGTCTGCTGCATGTTTGCAGTTATTTATCACATCCAGCAATATCCTGTGGCTCAGGATTGTTTATGGCAAGGTGCTCGAGTTAGTTGTGACCATTCCTGGTACTTTTGTTTGTGCATATTCAAGAATTGCACGACTTAAATTTGAAATATTGACAGTTAAAACTGTTCTTTTTTTGTTCATATTCTCTCTGCTTCTTGTGGAGAAGCTGAAATAAGGTTTAATGGTCAAGAAAATGAAGGTTTCTTGTTTCACACGGTGATGGCAACTGCAGTTTGTCTAATACTGAATCTCCTAAAGAACATCTGATTAAATAAAATCTGTAAGGTTCTTCTTTTGTTTGTTTGTTTAGGAAGACTTAAAGGTAAATCAACAATTAGCTCTGTTTGAAAGAGACAAGAGAGATAATTTTACTGTGCCTTGCACAGCTCCAGGTTTGCAGGAGCCTCTTTGAAGTTTTGCCATTGTTTCCAGAGTGAATTTGTTTGATGTGTAACGATGTCTTTTGCATTAGGTGACTAATGTTTGATCATTTGGCATGGAGCTTTTTGCAAGTTCACTTGCTACAAAATAAAAAAGTACAAAGATTTTCATTTTCAGACAAGCACCCAGTAACTTTTGTGTTTCTAGTGTAAAGCTGATAGAAGTGAGGGAGAGCTGGGTTGTTTCTGGTCACTGTTTGTTAACAGCTTCTGTGCTGGGATGGAGGAAATTGTTGAGCGCTAAGAGGGTTTTGTGTTGCCCTTTTTCTGCCCTGAATGCACAGAAGAAAGCTGAAATTCTTATCATCCCTGGACATTGACTTTTCCATGGATCAGCAGGGGAGGTGGCCCTCATGATGGCTTTACCATCCTGCTCCATCTAGTGGAACACTTCATTCTACATCATGGGCTGTTGAGCCAGTAATAAACTTTGAACATTGCTGACAAATTAGATTTGTTTTTCTCCTAAAGAAAATAAAATAAAAATTGCTGTCTCCTTCTAAAAATATTTAATAATTCTAATATTTATTCAATATGATAGTTGCATATATGATACTATAGTCTTACAGAAGGAGATTTTTAATTGTTAATTTTGACAGTTCTTGTCCTTTCTTGCATTTTGGACCATGCAGTGGTGGTGTTTTTAATAACAGAATATGCATAGTAGGAGTTTTTTAATGGCAAAATGTTGAGTCTCTGGTTGTGTTGGCTGAGAAAAACCAGCTTTAGCAAAGGCTGTACTATCCTGGCTTCCCATTTCCTGCAGGTGTGATTTTTGGAGGTGTGGAGCTGGGAGGACAGGCCAGTAACCTCATCTGGTGGAGAGCCCTTCTGCTGTCCTGCACCCTCAAGCTCACTGGCTGAATGAAAATGTCACTTTGGAGGAGCCCTGCTCATTCTGAAAGAGTAGCTGCCTCTGCTCATCATGAGCTTTACTGTACTTCCTGCCCAGGCATATTTTACAGTCTTGAGAGGCAGAGAAAGGAAAGAAAGCTTGTTTCCCTTTTCTTAACTGGCTTCACTAAGAAATCAGTTTCTATTCTGCATTTAGAACATGGGCTGTGACATTGTCACCAGTTTGTATTTCAGCAGTGAGGAGGGAGCTTTATGTGTGAGAAGAGCAAATTTCATTGCTCTTGCAGGGACGTACACAGAGTGTTTGTGTGAAGCTGTCATGTGATCCTGCTCTTGGCTAATAATAAACAGAATAACACAGCAGTGTCTGGAATACAGAAAATCCCAAATGGTGTTACATTATTTACCATCCTTCATGTGTCTTCCCTGAAGGCACAGGGTCACATTTTATTTAGAATATATTATTATTATTAAAAATCTAGGAGCCATTTCCACTGTGATGTGCCAAAGCCCGTTTGTTAAATCTGCCTTCTGTCAATTACAAACAGGATCTCTTTGAAGCACTGCTGTTGCCAGTGCTTCTACCTCAGGTTTCATTTGAGCAGCTCTGCTTTAAAGCCTCACAAATACCCAGCAGAGCAGGCAGAGCCAGCAGGATCTGTCCCTTGGAATGTTCTGTTTGTGGCATGAGGACATGGAGGGTGCCCACGCTGTCCTGGCCTTACCCAGAGCCTGCAGAAAGGGCAGGGCAGGAGAGGAGCTTCTGCATCGGTGCCAGGAGCCTTTGGGCCAACTATTCAGTAGCTTAGGAGCAAAGTCTGGGTACTACAGGAGCCTCCTGGTGCTTTTCTAGAGTAGCTCATATCAGCCTGTGCCACAGCTCCCTGGATTTTTGCTTTAGCCTTGGCCGCTCATTTCATTTCGTGCCTCACGTTAGGCCGCGCTCTCCCTTCGAATCCCCTCAGTGGCGCTTCCTGGCCGTGCCTGGGGTGGCAGAGGAAGCCCAGAGCAGGCAGAGAGTGCAGCCCTGGCGGAGCTGCCATGGCAGGAAGGGCTGGGAGCAGCACCAGGAGCCTTCTCACGCGATTTCCTGCCTCCCTCCTGCCTCCGCTCCTCTCTGCGCTGCCATTTCGGGCCAGGAGCAGCTCTGGAGGTGCACGCTCACGTTTCTGGAGCTCCAGCACCAGCACAGCCTCTCTGATACCTTGAAACTGTGCCAGGCTCCTCCAGAAGAGTTTTATGAGGAGTATTTTTTAAGATGTTTGTTTTTAAAATACTTATCAAAGAAAGGCAGGGAGTGCAGCTATTAGCCAACTGCTGTGCAGGGCTGCTGAAGGATCAACACGTGTGGACACACAGGCTTTTTAATTTCTGATGTTGGGAATTCTTTATATTTTTATTAAGATTTATGGTGTGTTTTATTTCTGGATTTGCAGACTTGCAGAGAGCAGTTAAGAGCCCCAATCTGTGCACTTAATGATTTTCTTCCATGTTGATTTCTCTTCGTGACAAAGTTCCTTTCATGGAACATGTAGTAAAGTGTGTTTGCTCAAAGTCTCACCTTTTTAAACAGTGCCTGATTTATCAGGGGTACTACTGTTACTCTAATTTCTTATCCATATTATTTATTACTTTTTTATTTTATTTTATTTCCATTCAATGTGATTTTGACAGAGTGGTTTCTCTTGTCTCTATCTTCTCTGAGTGCTCACATTCAGCAGGACAGGAATTTCCCTGGCCCCTATTCCTGGCATACCCAAGCTTCTTACGGACAGTGACAATGACATTGTTAAACATTCCCATGAGGAAGAATAATATTCATGTCCCCTTTCACTGGAATAAAACTGACACAGCCTACTGCTGTGTGAATTCCTTGGCAAGGCAAAGAGTAGACCCAGGTCATCTAACTCCTAATTTTTGGTCTTGATTACAAAATCCACATTATTCTATTCCAGAGTGCTTAGAGATAACTGAATTAGGGTATTTCCTCTGCTCTCTCTTTTCTCTGCTCATTCCCTCAGCTTGAGGGAATAGAAGATCATGTTTTAAACAAGGTTAAATTTCAATTAAAGAAATACAGCCCAGGCTATGCATTTTCTGCAGTCCAGTGGGGTATTAGGTGTGTGATAGGGAGCACAGTAACTCCTGTCTTTGCATGACTTCAGTGAAGTCACTACCAACAACACAAGTCAAATATGTAATAGCTGAAATATCCCAACTCCTCCACGTGTGTGCCCTCTCTTGCTGACTGTCAGTAGCAGGGATGTGCCTGCTGGCAAGTGCTCTGAAAACCAGATTACCTAAATTTAGCCAATAAATGGATTATGAATTCAGCTCATTTTCCCACTCTTGTCACAGCTAATCATAAATTCATCATTTCAAACTACATTCAACCCCAGATAAACTCCTCTGTCTTTAAAATAAATTACAACCCGGTATAAAGCAAGATAAACCAAAAGGTGTCCTGGAATAGGTTGCTTGAGTTTTAGGAATTAAGTGCTGCAGTAAGGAAGATACAGAGTTGATGGGTCATAATGGCAGAAAGACCTTTACAAGTCCAAAATGAGAATAATTGCAGAAGTCATACCACAGCCTTTTGAGGTCTGTGTGATGCCCATTGCATCATCCTGAGTTATTGCCAAGGGGTTTAACTCAAACAGTTAAATCTGATTTCTGCCTCCACTTTTACTTCCAGCCCCCTGGATTCATTGCCTCCATTCATCTGCTGCTTTTCTTTCTCCTCTGTTCCACACATCTGTGAATGTGCCAGTTCCTTTCTGGCCTTCGGCTGCAGATGCAGCTTCCTTTCCCTGCCTGGCTGGAAATGCTGAGGGTTTGCCTTCAGCTGGAGGCAGGGCAGACCTGCTTGTAGAGCACGAAAAAGCTGGGTTGGAACTTCTTCCCCAATTTCCTGACAGAGTTCCACGTCCAAATACTCAGACTTTGCATTTTATTTTAAATGCATCACTTGGTAATGCCTGCAAGGGTTAAGGATAAGCTCTGCTGTTCATGGATGCCTGATTCAGTGGAAATGGATGTTTTATATTTGCTTTCACGTGTGAATGGATTTGCTCTCACAACAGCTATTTCTTTGTTTCACACAAAATTCACATGCACAACATTTGTTCAGGTTAGGC